AGGTGTCAATGTTTTTCATATTCAAAGGAAACAATTCCAAATATATCAAAAGATAACAAGTAACCATCACAAGTCGAATCAATGGTTTTGATATTGTAACAACATCCCCTGCACAAGTGAAAATTGTTTATATTAATCCTTCAAGGAAGGTAGTGGACTCTCTCTAGGGGTGTGGATGTGGTTGGCGGGGGAGGGAGGGTGGATCTCTGGGGAGGTGGTTCTTGCCGGGCTGCACATTCGAATCAGCTAGAAAGCTTAACAGTTTTCCTCTGGCATCACCTGCAGAGTTTTAGATGATCCTTTGAGAAGGCTCACACCCCAGACTATTTTAGGGAGTAGTCAGGGTGGAGAACACTAGTCCAGAGACCCTATGGTATATTAGTCTGGACTCTGCAATGAGAGCTTAATGTTTTCTTGATGAATCTTTATTCCAGTTAGTTGAGTATCTTAAGGGGTTTGGTTTTTTCTCTCCTAAAGTGAATCCTCATCTGAGGACTTTAACGTGCATGTGTATTTAAGAAAAAATACCTAATGTTCTAGTTCGTGAATGACTTGAAGGTGTGCTGTCCTCAGCCTTCAATACTTTAGGAATAACTGCCCACATGTTATCTATTTAGTAGTGTTTGAAAGCACTAATTTCACATCATCTTGCTTTTCTAGATATTTAAATTTAACAAGTTTTATAAGCTACAGGTAGGAGACTCGATTATTACCTTCATTTTGTTTAATTAAGGCATGCATGACTTATGCTCAGTCTTATAGCATCTTTACAAATGAACAGTTAAGAATCACATAGCTTTTATTTTTTAATTTTAGGTACAAAAACGATCTCTGTTCACGTAGTTTGCTATCGTGCCGCTAAAAGGTAAGAAAAACGTGGGGGTTTTTTTGTTGTTGTTGTTGTTGTTTTGTTTATTTTTTGAGCAGCCTCCAGTCCAGTGCCCAGATAATCACGGCCCCCACTACCTGTGATGAGTGAGATGAGGCTCCAAATGGGCTTGTCTTAGCACGATATTTTTTTTCTAGAAAACAGTTCATAAAATGCACCAAGTGCTCACTGTTGTTTATGTTACCTACACGGAGCTGAACCCACATGGGAACCATCCGTCCCCTTGCCTCGCGTCTCTTCGGGCTGAAGTCTGGCTCTATCGACAACGTGTAGCAACCACTTAGATAAATGAGAGGACCCCCAAACCAAAATCAATCTGTGCCGTTAGTGAGCCTGGGCTATCCAAGCGGTTGGCATGGCTTTTTTTTAAAACAGCCCAAATGAGGCAGAATAATAATCTACGTGCAGCTACAAAATATGAGGATAATATTGATGTTTGAAAACCCGGGCAGGGAAGGCTTTGAAAGAGGTTGCGAATAAGCGGCCTTTTTCTTTCATTGGGCAGACTCCGCGCCAGTTCTACCACGTGTTCCTCTCCCGCCTCACACTCTCAGTGGCGGCGCCCACCTTTCCGTACGAAAACATGGCGCCGCCCTGCGTGGGGCGGGCACGACCTGTCTCCGAGCCACCGCCCGCTTGAGCCCCGTCGGCCGACTCGGAGCCTACCTCTCGCATCTCCGTACGGAAACATGGCGCCTCCCGGCTCGAGCCCCCGCCCACCGAGCCCCCTCAGCCCGCACGCGACCGCGCCTCCCGCTTTTCCGTACCAAAACATGGCGCCGCCCTACGAGGGGCGGGCGCCTCCCGGCGAAAGAGCTGCCTCCTCCTTCCCGACGCTTGAGGAGCGGCCACACTGGCCGCTACCCACCGAGCCTGGCTCGGAGGACCGCCTGCAGCGGGGCGAGGGATGCAGCCTCGGAAGGGCAGAGGCTGAAGCGTCCCGTGCTCGCCGCGCATCGCTCCGCGCCTCCGCCGCGGCGCCGGCGGCCGTCTCATTCCCCGCCCGAGCGGCAGGAGGGAGGAGAACTCCGCGGCAGGTGAGGGAAGGGGACGCAGAGGCTGGCAGCCCTGCGGGGCCCGCGCGGGAGGCGCCAGGTGGCATTCCCGGGCATTTCTTCGCCCCGCTCGCGCCGGTCGGGTCCCGTGCTGTCGGGTGGAGACAAGGGAGAAGCAGGGGCGGCGGCGGGGTGCGGCGTAGAGCGGCCTTTGTCCCGCCCCTCGAGGCCATGCTCCTAGCGCGCCCCTCTTCCCTCGCTTGCAGCCGGCCCGCCACTCCCTCGCCGGCCCGAACAGTTGTTTACAACGGAATCCGGGCGCCGAGAGTGAGTGGCACTGGGGGCCAGAGGGAGCGGGTCCCGGCGTCGGTGGACAGAGCGCCTTTCCTTTGCGGAGAGACCCTATCTGCTGGGGAGTGTCTTGGGGCGCCCTGGGCCGAGCGTGTAGCTCGGATGGAAGGTCTTTCGGGCCAGTGCGAGGAGCCTCCTACCCCGGTTCCCTTTTCGGGCGGAGCCGGAGTTGGTGATTGTTGAATGAATGAGCACGCTGTAAGCAGTCGGTGCTTCCTGTAGCCCAGTAATTACAGCTACCATTTGTGGGAAGCCTGTGGTGTGCCAGCTGCTGTTATGCACATTCTGTCGTCTCATCGTCCCCCAAATCGAAGAAGTAGGTAGCTGCATTTTACAGAGGAGGAAACTGAAGTTCCCCAGCTAGTAAAGAGCCAAAATTGGAACCCAGGTACGTCTGAGACCAACGCCCATCCTTCCCACACACGCTGACATCACAGAGATGACACAGCTGTCAACAAATACTTAACGGGCTTCTGTTTGGAAGATAGGCTTACAACGGATGGAGCGGATTGGGAAATGTGGTTGGTGCTGGGCACGAAGAAGTTAAAAATCTAGGTGAAGAGTTGTGTGTGTGTGTGTGTGTGTGTGTGTGTTTTAAATAAAACTAGCAGTTTTACAGGCTCGCCCCAACCCATCTTTCCCTCTTCATCACGTGCCACTAGTTCTCCTGCTCATTTTCTTGTGCCTTCACATTTGCCCTCTGAGTGAAATGCTCTCCCTCTCCACCTCCTCTCTCACTCTAGTCATTTTTTAATTGGGTGAAATCCTCTCTTTTCAAAAGAACAGCTCAAATGTCACCTTTTTCGGGAAGGTTATCCCAGCCTTCCACCAGGCAGAATTCTTGTCTCCGTCTGCTGTGTTCCCTTAGTGATTTCTTCATGCCACCAAGACTTAAGCTTCAGCCTGTTTCCTAGTGAGCATGTTTCCCTCTCCAGGCCTATTTAAATAAGTATAGATAGATAGATAGATATAGATTAAGATACAGAATTTTTTAAAAGATTTTATTTATTTATTTGACAGAGACACAGCAAGAGAGGGAACACAAGCTGGGGGAGTGGGAAAGGGAGCACCAGGCTTCCTGCCGAGCACAGAGCCAGAGTCAGCTGGACTTGGGGCTCGATCCCAGGACCCTGGCATCATGATCTGAGCCGAAGGCAGATGCTTAACGACTGAGCCACCCAGGGGCCCCTAAATAAGTATATTTTGAATTGGATTTAAGGCAAGGATGCATGCCAGATGTTCAGTAACTAGCCCAACAGGAGTTCAGGGAAAGGTGCAGACATTGCTGGGAAGTGTCCTGGGAGGAGTAGGACTTGAGCTGAATCTTAAAAGGATGGGGTTAGTTTACTAAACTGAGCGTTGGAGAAAAGCATGCCTTCCTCCTCACTGCTCAGTAGGAGTTACTTCATCTTTTCTGAGCTCATTCTCAGCATGTGAAGAGGATAAAATTAGAAGTGTGTGTGTTTGTCCTTTCTCATAGAATATGCTGGCAATGTTATCTTTTGGTTTGGAGCATATCCAGAGCCTAATAGGATTTAGGACAGAGGAGATGGGTGTCTGGAGTGGGATGTTAGAAGGTAAGGGGAACTGCATTTAAGCAACCTTCATATTAATAATACAGGCCTGGGGGAAAAAATGCAGGCCTGAAAATGTCAATTCCAGTAACTTCATTTTATTTAATGGAGGGATCTGAAATTTCAGATAATTATATCAAGTGATTCTTCTCTGTTTAATGTGCAGAAGAGAGTCTGCCAGACCTTTTGGAAGCAGTCAACATTTCTTTTGATCCTTGGATTACCATCCAGGTGTATAATAAAGACTAATTAGTGTTTATGAAAATGTTTTGTGATCTCCAAGTGCTGATGGTACAAATTCTAATTATTTGCAGTTTTGTGAATGCAGAAACATTGTCTTCTCCCTTAATTAGAAACACCTTAGGAAGAGAGAACTCCAGGGAAAAACCTTGGGAAGGAAAAACTTGACAAAACTTCTACAGTAAAAAGAGGTTATGATTTCAGGCCTTTCTTTTTTCTTTTTTTTTTTTTTAAACTGGCCGAAACCATTGTGCTAAATATTATTGCTGTTCTAACCAGCAACTTAAAAAATTAAAACCCCACCCAACCCCATACATTGTGGTTGTTTGCAACTTCCTCCTTACGATCTTTTCCTGCTCACTGACAAGAAGTTAATAAAAATATTTGCCCCGCATATTCTTACATGCCTTGTGAGATTCTACCTTCTATGTGTCATCTCTAGTCATCCACACAACAGAATCAGGGAAGCGGCTTATCAGCCCAGTCAGTGTATGGAAGCAAAGGTTAAAGCATGGTTTCCAAAGACTTTTCATATCAGCTCTCAGGAATGAAAGTAGTGACGAATTGAATCACTCTTTGATTAAAATAGAAGCGGGCGCTTGGTAGTATTATCTTCCAACAATGTAAAGTCTGTCCTGTTTTCTTTTGACATGGTACTTAGGAGTGTGGGACAAAAATATTCAAACTTGTCACTCTGTATCTGAGGTACAGGTCCATAAATTTGGTAAACCACAAGCGTCATTTTAGAGCTGTCTATTTAATCACTGAGGTAGAATATGATAGCTGGGTAAGAGCTTCACAAGCCCATTCATTTTCACAGGTGAGAAAATTGAAATCCAAAGAGAATAAATGATTTGCCCAGAGCCGTACTACTAGCTAGTGACAGAGCCAGAACATTTGGTTCACTTTTTTTTTTTCTTTCCTAGGAAAGTGAATTAAACTTAATTGAGAATGTCCGAAAACCCTGACAAGCCCAATATAAATGAAGCAGGAAAATCAAAATCGAATGATTCTGAGCAAGACCTTGAAGATGCTGTGAAAGGTTCTGATGCCGCTCTACAGAAAACAGTAAAGTCGGGCTCTCCCAGCACCCAAAGAGTGCAAAGACCTCACTGTAAGCAAATTTGCCTTTGGGTAGAAACCCTATTATCCTGTTTTGAGATGATATTTTGATTTGGCTTCCTTGTACTTGTGACCCTGACCTGGGTTCTAATAATATAACATTGCAGATAACTAGTAAGTTATAATATTTAAGAATAGCAAGTTTCTCAACTGGCAGCCTAGTCACTTGTGGGTTTTCTTTTTTACTGTTTTTTTTTTTTTTAAGATTTTATTTATTTATTTGACAGAGAGATCACAAGTAGGCAGAGAGGCAGGCAGAGAGAGAGAGGGAAGCAGGCTCCTTGCTGAGCAGAGAGCCCGATGAGGGACTCGATCCCAGGACCCCGAGACCACGACCCAACCCACTGAGCCACCCAGGCGCCCCTCTTTTTTTCTGGTTTTTTAAAAAATTTTATTTATTTATTAGAGAAAATGCCCGGTGGGGAGGCAAAGAGCAAGAGAGAGAGAGAGAGAGAGAGAGTGGAGCAGACTGAGCAGAGAGCCCTGCGGGCCCATCCCAGGACCCATAGATCATGACCTGAGCTGGAAGGCAGATGCTTTACGGAGCCACCCAGGCGCCCCCACTTGTGGGTTTTCAATTGCTTGAGAAATTAAAATTTTAGGATCCTGTCCGGAATATTCCTGTCTTCCTGTGGTGTCTGTGGCATTCCACTTTCTCTGAAGTGCTCTGAGAAAGAGGGTGGAGTGCAAATTGTAGCTCTAATTTAAAAAAGCGTCTGAAAAGCCTGAGGCAGGTTCCAGCCAGGACTGTGCTTGTGCAGGTTAAAAAAGAAATAGGTTTTGAATGTGAGTGAGGTCACCACACCCTAACTTCATTGCCTGGGGGCTTCGTTCCCACGAGGCTGAAGGGATTCAGTTTGCTGAATGGTCGGTGAAGTCATTTCAGATCCCTGGCAAGGAGCCGGCCTCACGGATGAAAAGGTGGTAATTTCCACAAGTATTCCCAGCAGTCGCCCCAACTCATGTCTTTTATTAAGAATACTTAAGCTTTTTGATGTGAGTCCAAAAATGAAAAGTTTTAAGAGGGAGTGTCATAGTCTAAGAATGTCAGTGCTGATGTTATCTCTTTAAAGTGGAGGTGATCAGTAGTTCTTCATATTTGAAAGAAATGTGAACATTTTTGGGGTTTCAGGTGTGTTTCTTTTAAAATGATCAAAGTCCTTCCCAGGTAATTTATTAGTCCACACAATACTCTTTTCTTTCTTTCTTTTTTTAAATTAAGGTTTATGCCCAGTGTGGGGCTTGATCTTACGACCTGGAGAACAAGAGTGGCATGCTTTACTGACTGGTCCAGCTAGGCACCCCTCAACAAAGTATTCTTTTTTTCTTTTCCTTTTTTGATTTTATTTATTTGAGAGAGAGAGAGAGAGCTCGTGCGCACTCGCATGCATGCGCCCATGGAGCAGGGGTGGGGAGGTTACCAAGGGAGAGGGAGAAGCAGACTTCCCGATGGGCAGGGAGCCCAACACAGGGCTCAGTCCCAGGACCCTGAGATCAGGACCTGAGCCGAAGGCAGATGCTTAACCGATGCTTAACCACACAGGTGCCCCTCAACATAATATTCTTTTTTTTTTTTTTTTTAAGATTTTATTTATTTATTTGACAGACAGAGATCACAAGTAGACAGAGAGGCAGGCAGAGAGAGAGAGGGAAGCAGGCTCCCCGCCGAGCAGAGAGCCCGATGTGGGACTCGATCCCAGGACCCTGAGATCATGACCCGAGCCGAAGGCAGCGGCTCAACCCACTGAGCCACCCAGGCGCCCCCAACATAATATTCTTATTAGCAAACATTATGGGCCCCATTTTATTGTGGTTTAGTATCACGTAAATTTTGATAGATAATACCAGTAGGTTCAGGGAAACTCGCTGTTGATAAGACTGTCATGCATGTGTTACACCTTACAGAAAAAAATTATTTTTGCAGAAAAAAATCAGGTTCTTCTAGCACCCAAAATGTACAAAGACCTCACTGTAAGCAAATATGACCTTGGTCATACTGGTCTCTAATATGTATAGTTAGAAAGCTTCTGTTGTCTCGTTTTTGTTTATTTTTTAAGATTTTATTTTTATGTAATCTCCATACGCAATGAGGGGTTTGAATTCATAACCCTGAGATTAAGAGTCCCATGCTTTACTGACGTGAGACAGCCAGGCATCCCTGTTTTCTCATTTTCATTTTTTTATTTAAAAAAAAAAACTTTTTTTAAAGATTTTATTTATTTTTTTTCCTCCCAAGGATTTTATTTATTTGACAGAAAGAGATCACAAGTAGAGAGGCAGGCAGAGAGACAGAGGGAGAAGCAGGCTCCCTTCTGAGCAGAGAGCCCAATGTGGGGCTTGATCCCAGGACCCTGAGATCATGACCCAAGTTGAAGGCAGAGGCGTAACCCACTGAGCCACTCAGGCGCCCCAAGATTTTATTTATTTATTTGGCAGAGAGAGATCACAAGTAGGCAGAGAGGCAGGCAGAGAGGGTGGGGGGAGCAGGCTCCTGCTAAGGAGAGGCTTAACCCACTGAGCCACCCAGGCGCCCCTGTTTTCTAATTTTTAAAATGAGGAAATTACACTTATCTCTTAGGATAGTTGTAAAGATTAAATGAATTCATGTAAAGCGTTTAGAATAATGCTTGGCACCTAGTAAATGCTCAATAAATATTAATTGTTAATACTACTGGCATGTCATCTGTTGCGATTAAAGATACCAGGACTGATTGCTGTAATTGGGATGTATATGGCTGACATGATGGTTTTATCACCTACAGTTTCTGATAAAGGAGGATCATTGGTATGAATCTTTAGTCATTCTTTGATTGATGGCCTTGCTTTGGCATCCTGTCAGTCTAATGGCATGACTCCAAATTAATGTCTAGCCAACATTAGACTATATTATCTGAGACTGTATGTAGTTATGTCCTTAAGACAAGAGTACTTATTTTGGGAACCAAGATTTTTAGGGGTCATAGGAACAGCCAGAAAAGTATATCAACATTTGTGTGCATATGCATTTTTTTAGGAAGAAAGTCATGGAAGATTTCATTAAATTTGTTTAGAAGTCTATACCAAAATGATATATAAAATCAGTGCCCTAAAATATTGTTCTGGCTTCCTTGTTCTTCTTATAATAATAGGTAGGCACAGGGCCGTGGGCCTCTGTGTAAAGCTCAGACCCTATAGTCTGGGGACCACATCAGGAAGCCTCACTCATCACCTAGAGCATAAATAAGAATTTATAAAATATGAAAGAAACTGCAGACATTTGAGTTTATAGTAACTGTAAAATCACTTCTGGAATTCTACAAATTAAAATGTAAATAGCCAAAAGATAATCTTTAGCCTTGCAAATTATAATAGAGTAGTATTTTAAGGGCAGAATTGCTGTTGGTAACTGTGATATTGTGAATTATAAAATAAGAAAACTCTGGGTTTTGGCCAGTTCCTGGCAAAGAGCTCCTTTGGAATTTCCTAAGTGATGAGCGCAGGAAAGGTATCTTTTATTATGTTAATGAGGTGACTTCTGGAAAGCATTTAGGTCACCCAAGGATGGGGGCTGGTTCCTAGGGGGACCCAGTCATGATTAATTGAAGGGTTGAAACTTTCTTTTTCTTTTTTATTTTTTTAATTCTAAAGATTTTTTTTTTTTTTTGGAGCTCCATCCCACGTGGCTGGGATCATGATCCCAGCCAAGGCAGTGGCTTAACCAGCTGAGCCACCCAGGTGTCCCAAGGGTTGAAACTTTCAGTCTCATCCCCCAACCTGCAGACTGGGGAGAGGGGCTGGAAGTTAAATCAGTTGTCAATGGCCAGCAATTTTTTTTTTTTTTTTTTTTTTAAAGATTTAAGAGAGGAAGAAAGCGGGAGCCTGGGCATGTGGCGGGAGGGGTGGAGAGAGAATCCTCCAGCAGATTCCCTACCAGACAAGGAGACAACAGGGACCCAGACCCGGGGTTTGATCCTAGGACCCTGAGATCAGGACCTGAGCTGAAATCAAGAGTTGGCCGCTTAACTAACCGACTGAGCCACCCGAGCGCCCTGCCAGTGGCCAGTGATTGAATGTATGCCTATATAATGAAGCCTCTATTAAAAACCCCAGAGGACTGTGTTGGGGGAGCTTCTGGGTTGGTGAACACGTGGTGGTGCTGGGAGAGTGGGGTGCTCTGAGCACGGACGCTCCTCCCCCCTTGCCCCACCCATCTCTTCATCTGGCTGCTCCTGAGTTCTAGCCTTTTATACTAAACCAAGGATCTGCTAAGTGACACATTTCTCAGTTCTGTGAGCTGCTGTAGCAAATTAAGCGAGCAAGAGGAGGGAGTCATTGGAACCTCTGATAATAGCACAGGTGACACTGTGGACTTGGAACCGGAGCAGTTTGTAGAACCCAGCCCCTAACCTGTGGGATCTGATGCTACCTGCAGGTAGATAGTGTCAGGATTGAATGGAATTGTAGGACCCCTGGCTGGTGTGTGACAACTGCTTGCCCGCACACATGTTGGAATTTGGGTGCAGAACCTTTAGTAATGATAGAGAATATTGAAAAAGAAAAAAATGGCTGGCTTGTGAGAATTGGTTGGCCCTAATCTGAAGTGGTGATTTGATTCTAACAATGATGTGTTCCTTAAACACAGAGCTCCTCAGAGGAAGGGTCGGTCAGCTGTAACTTAATGTCCCCTCTGAGATTCTCTACTTCCATATGCTTCTCTGCTCACAAAGCACCTTCTGTGCTGGTGTTTCATCACCTGTTGGCCAGTGAAAGATGCTGTATTCAGATGAAAAGCATCAATTGTTATTCCAGTTAATATTTTCCATTTAGCTTTTTGGTTTATTAAATCAGGTCTTTGTGAGTTTAATTAGTAGATCCCAGGCATCCTTAGATAAAGGGATGACACTAAGGTCTTATATTTTTAAAAATATTTATTTTTTTATTTTTTTTGAAGATTTATTTATCTTTAGAGGGAGAGAGAGAAAAAAGGCACACAAGTGTATGTGGGCAAGGGAC